CAGGCTTTTCAACTCTGTTGCAAATTAAAACGAAGCAACGTAGTAGATTAGAGGTAGAAAATGACCTGCGTTGTGCCCTTTCAAGCACTCCTCCGCGTATCCCAGAATTGGCGAAGAAAAAACAATCACAGGTTTCTCATTGACTGTAATCTTCATCTGAATAAAATTAATTACAAATTTACAATATCCTGGTTTTCTATTGAACTTTTTGTTTATTGCATTATGCTTCAGTTTGGTCTGTTAAGTAATTCATTATAAATAAAAAAAAAACTATTTTCTTTTATTCAAGTTTTATAAATCCATCAACATTTTCAATTGGCATTTAATTTGTAAAACTCCACTATAAAAATAATCCATGTAAAATTGTAAATGTATATGTACTAATATGGAAAAAATAAAGGATTTTCAGTATTATATGCATATTATTTGGAATGCACTTTTTGAGGCAGACAATCTTGGAAAGGAGGGGGGAATGACATTCTGACATATGGTGCAAGGGGTGCATGGGGCAAACAAGGTTGAGAACCACTGCACTAGACCATTGGTCTTATAGCATGTCAGCATATTCTGCAGGGCTGTAATGAAGTTGGACTGGGGTGGGTGACTTGGTAATGGCTCTAATTTTGTTCCACACTTCTGCTAGAGTGGTTGTTATATTAATCCCCTGTAAGAATTGTTCCCAATAGGTGTTTCTCACCTGACCTTTGAGTTCACGAAATGCTCTGTTAGCTTTGAGGAATGCCAAGAGGTTATCACTAGTTTTATTTTGCTTATAAGTGTTGGCAAGCTGTTGTACCTTCTCTCCTTCTTTGGTGAGGATGGGGTCATGTGTCCACAGAGGTGGTTTAGTGCTGCCCCCTTCCTCCTTGACTTAACCCAGGTGGTATAATATGTGGTAATGACATTTACAAGATCACAGCAAAATTCATCCACTGACCCAGGTGTATATCCAGCATACCATCTGTGGATGTAGGCCTTGAAGTGCAGTTTAAGATTATCTGGGATGTTAATTCTGAGCTTAGGATGGGGTTCACACTTGACATCAGCAGCAGTGTATTCAGTAAGTATTGCATAATGATCACTGACTAGGTGGTCTGAGATGACCTTAGCCTTGATATTACTGTCTACTAGGTTATACCCAATCACATAATCAAGTCTGCCCCCCATCAGATGTGTCACTTTGTCTGTGTCGTACACAGTGATATTATGATTATTGATGTAATTCACGAACACCCTCCCATTAGAGTTACACTGGACATCACCGAGGACAGTGTGACGAGAGTTAAAGCACAGCATAGCATTGTTACCTGATGGCTTTGGTAACACGTCCGCTCGCAGCTCATTACACCGAACATAGATGTTATACAGCGAAAATTGACTGTTTGCTGTCTTTACTGTAAATTGTTGATTGTGAATACTTTCATCATTGTGAGTTTTAATCCATTTACAACCAAATCATATGCTGTAAACCCAGCTATCCTGGGTGCAGCTTTCTTCTGGGTGCTGGACGTGTAAGGTTCTTGTAAACCAATTACATCAATGTTTAAAACTTTAACAAAGCATTGTAGGTCATTAATTCTGCGGTATTTCCATGAAATAAACCTAAGCGCTCGTGTTACTCGTTCCACCTTGAATATAGTATAGAGAGTCGCTCGTTGGCTTCATAGATCAACCTGACCAATAAGTTAACCGTTTCAAATTCATCACCCTGAGTTCTTGATAATGCGTCTCACAGCCCTTATTCCAGCAGGATTTTTATACACAGGTTCCTTCATTAGTCACGCGAGTTCCTCCTCCGTAAATATTGGAAGAAGTACAGGGTTATGGTCAGTTTTCAGACCTTGGGTTATTAAAGAGACCACGCTGGCAGTCTGGGGCTCATTCTCCCCATCCATGCTTCCATCACTATCGGTCTCGCTCTGGCTACTCACCCTCAAGTTGGCATCATTATGAGAGGAGGCACCAGCTCCTTCAGAAGCTCCACTGACACTATCACTGCCATTGTTCACTAGTACACTTACTTGGCAGGCTTTAGCCTGACCTGCATTGGCTAACGAAGGAGAGTCACCGTGGCTGTTGACTTCAGGTGGTGGAGGCGATCCGGCCGCATTGGCATCACTAAATGGGACCGTTATTGGAGGCGGCCTCCCAGGACAACCGGGGTGCCAGGCCGTCACACCCACCTCCCTGCACCTGGGACACTGCCTCCCAGGTGTGGGGGCTGCTCTCTTTCTCTCCTAGAGAGGCAGCTTCCTTGGTGGGGCAGCTCCTCCTGCTTTGCATTTCTGCGCAGATGCCGCAGGTGGCTGTCTTGTGACAGTATTTCGCCACATGATTGACCCAGAAGCAGTTGTAGCACACCACAGGAGGGGTCCACCGACTGATGTTGCTAGGGGTACCGTACTTGCCGAAGAATCAGTATTCTCCAGCAGGTGGTTCCTTCCTCTTCCAAACAAAGATAATCCTACTAAGTTGTGCACCATCCTTATAAAGTCTTCTTGCTCTGTGGACGCCCGGAAGTAACAGAGCGCCACTGGGGGGAATACCCTTTGGGGAAGTGGGTGACAAGGTATTCCTTCATTTTCTTGGGTCGGACAGGTTCATCTCGCTTAATGAAATGTAATGAGCCGACCTTTCCATCAATGAAGCGTTGGATAGCATCCGTCTCCTCTCTGCCTACATAGACGAAACGAGGGGCGCTACCTGGCATGACAACATTCAGTGTAGTCGTGCAATATTCCTCATTCAGGGCTCTCAACCACTTAATCTTCATCAAGGTTGTGTTCTCGGGGAAGGCAAGGCGCCTGTAGTTAGCCCGGGGAGCGATGGGAGGGATGCACCTATTGGCTCTACTCTGCTTCCTTCCCTGGGTCCCCATTTCGCGTTTCTGCTGACGAGTCTTAAACTTCTGAAAGTCAGCTTCAGTGTCGCCATGACTGTCCTCCTCACCTCCTTCGTTTCCTTCGTCAGGAACATCAGCAGAGCGCCCCCCGGCGTCGACTCCTGCCATGGTTAGATTTAAATGGAATCCAGGTCTTATACACTGGGGCAGAGAGGTTATATGTAGGTCAGCGATGTCCGGGTAACAGGGACTTGTGTGAATGGGCTGAGTTGTTTGAAGTGAGCCTTGAGTAACACTGATAGGAGTTACACCCAATATTCACTAACTCACTTGTTAAATTTCTGTTCCCACCATCCCAGTATAACGACCCTAGTCACGTGAGACACCACATGAAGTCATTAACACGTGTGGTAAGCGCCAACCATCAGCGGAGCGAGGGAGGGAGGGAGGGAGGGAGGGAGGGAGCCACATGGCCGGGCCCGGGAGTAGGCTTTGCGGGCTCCAGGGCACTGTGGATGCCAGAAGCTGTCACATTGGTTACTACACTACACCCACAAATACCACTTTACACATGGTCATAGCTCACTGACACTGATGTGAAGTCACTAAGTATAACACCCTGCTTCACAATGCGCGAAATACTGTATAAGTTAGTTTGGTTATCCCTAGTGTGTGGCACACAGGTGGTGAACGGTGGCTGGGAGGCGCAACCCTCTTATGATGCGAGGTAAGTTGACCTCTATAGTCCCATACGTAAGAGGGAGGCAGGCTGCAGCAGGCAGAACGCTGGCCTAGCACCTCGGTGTCTGACCTCTGACCTCAACCTTAATGGCGGGGACTGGGTGCCACCTTCAATATATCACGTCACACTGTATTTTCCTCTATACAGTTTGGTTATGGTACATAATTATACAGTCCACGTTTATAGGGTAGAGGTACCGAGATAACCAAGGCACACAAGGTAACTTCTCACACCTGTACCAAGCTTCGTACAGCGCTGAAGCCAAGCCAAGTCAGGTCAGAGGACGACGAGTAGGTGTGACCTCCCCCTACGGTGCCCATAGATTAACTTGAGTATGGGATAGAAATTAAGTAACATCTTGTATAGAGTCAACCTTCGTAGCGGGTTAAATGTGAACACATGTGCCCATAAAATATAACAATAGTAATATTGACTCCCAAGAGGTAACATTACCTCCTCTACCCACTGTTATCAGATGATGGACTCTACCAGGTGGTCTGCGATTCACTGGTCACACACTGACGGGGTTCCCATTTGTGGGAGAACGTAACACTAGGAATTTTCTTCAGCTTTTCGTGAGACAGAGTATGAAGGATCAGTTGTAGGCAGATGCGTGTACGTGAAAGAACGGTGTGGATAATTCTGATTTTAGAGGCTGTTGTATTTACCTTTTAGTACTTCAATGGTACAGTACAGTAGATGAGTCTGCGTGTGTGAAGGAATTAAGTAGATAAGTCTGTCTTTAGCAGTTGTCGTGTTTGTTTCTGGTAGTTCGGTGATTATGGGTCTTTATCCGCTGTTCAGTAACATTTCTAAGAGTCGTTCGTACATGAGTATATATGTATGTCTGTCGTAGATGATATAAGGCCAACATAGATGAGTGGTTGTAGATGAGTATATTCCTACAAGCAAGTTGTAGATTGAGGAGTATACATAAGAGTTGTGGTTAATGTGTGACTTTACATGTATCTTGAGATAAGTTGTGTTAGTGACGTGTGTTGTGTGGAGGCAAAGTGAACTGAGGAAGGTCTGGTGTCCGTGTTCGTCTTTGTTCTCTGTTTACAGGTAAAAGGAAGAGGTTAATTAATATGGTAATTATATAGCTCTCAGAGGAACAATGCATCCTTGAATTATTCTCAGTGTCTCTCTATTATCATTCATAGAAAAGTCCCGAGTGTTTTTTTTTCACCTTCTACAAGTTGGACTGAGGAGGTGTGTTACCTGGCGTCTCTGTGATACACAATACCTGTTTGAGTTTTAATAATTTTTCTATGTGGCTCTTTGTTACTGAACACCGCCGTATAGTTTTTGCATTCAAGAGTTTATAAAATAAGAAATATTTAAGGTTGAATATTACTCAGGTAACTCGCACACGGGAGAGTTGAGAGAGAAAAGAAGATAGTGTGAGAGTCTTACCTGAACACCGGGGTCTTTGTGCCATTCTTGTACCAGAGGACCAGTATGACGGGATCCTCAGGGGCTGTGGTCAAGTTACACGGTAGTTGAGCAGTCTGTCCCCGCACAGCGTACACGGCCACCAGTGGTGCTGTGAGGACACGACAACACACACATTAATAATAAGAATAAAACAAAAAACTACACCTATTGATTATTATTATCTAAAACAACAAAGCTAAGAATAAAAAATAAACATCCGTGTCATGTATAAGATTATCTTTGATACATGGTTTCCCCCCCTCTCTCTCTCTCTCTCTCTCTCTCTCTCATCCCAGGTAAAATGGGAGGAACAGGTGCACACAGCCATTTAGAAAAAATACACCAGGAAGAAAAAAATTGAATTGTGTAGAAGGGGAGGGTTTGGGTCGTTTGTAGGGTGTGGAACATATCAGAAGGGAGGAGTCGATGGGAGGTTGGCACACACAAACACACACACACACACACACACACACACGCACGCGAGGAGGAGGAGACATTAGGATCAGAGAGGCAACACAAATATGGGGTAACCTTAGCTGGTACAGGAAATTGTTAATCGATAGTTTCCTGAGCAAGTAAGCGAGGGGTGATTTTGGCGAGGCGACGGTGTGGAAAGACAGAGAGAGAGAGAGAGAGAGGGGGGGGGGTTAGAAGGAAAGGGGCAGGAAGGTGAAGATGAATGGAAAGGAGGAGACGATGGAATAGAGGAAAAGAAAATAGGTTCTGGGTTAAAGGAAGTGTATGGTGAATATAAATGAAATGGAACTAAGTATGGAACAGGAAATTGCCTATAGTTTCTGCGTAGAGGGAAGAGGATATAGTTAAAAGACAATGAAATGGAAAAGACGATGGAATAGAGCCAGAGATAAGAAATAGGTTTTATGTGTACAGTGTGAGAAGTCTACCCTCAACCATACTTTAATATATCTCAGCCTTTTAGAAATTGGATAAATAATTTCAGGGAGAGAAGTTGTTACAATTTATATACTAACTTAACCACTATACTTTTAACAATGAATGAAACCCTCAGCCTAATTAGATTGATTAGCTTTAAGGAGCTGAGATAAAAAAAAATATTAAAGACTTGTCAAAATTTCCCCCATGATATTCTGTTTATATACCATTCAGCTAACATAGAGAATATATTGAAATTAAAACTACTTAGTCGATGTTGGGATAAGCTGTGGTGGTAAATTTAAGTTGCATGGCTGTTTCTATCTCGGGACATTGTTTACCTGAATATTTCTTGGATCTATAGATGCGATAATGTCCGATAATAAATGGTAATACGATAAAGTATGTCAGGATAATTGGGCAGAAGTTCAGTCCCGCAGAACGAGTTGATCTGACATCTGGTGTAGGTCAAGAACTGACTGAGTGACTGACCACAAACACTACCCTCCCCTCCCCTCACCTACAGGCTACTCCTGATTTGACTTGACGCCTGTAGATAAGGATGAAGGTCTAATGCTTGTTGTTGGGTGGGAAGGGGTGGAAGTACTTTGGAGTTATTTGGGGGAAAGGGATTGTTTTTAGGAGATGGTAAATGAGGGGGAAGTTTGAAGGATTATAAGCAACACTACTAAATAATTATGATACAACAACATTAGATATTTAGTTACCCAAGCCACAGCCACCATCCGAACACAGGCGACAGTAATACCATAGCAATTACTAGATTTACTTTTTTCACTTAATTCTCACTATTTATAAGTTAGCTGACACACTATTGAATAAATTGTAATCCCAGGTAAAGCTTTTATTGTGGCACGGAATCATTTAGCGTGATAGGCTTAATGCTTCTGTTTATTGTAATTGGCGACATACAGCATTGTGTAAAGAGAGGGTGAAGGAAGCGAGTAAATACGTGAGAGTGAACGGGAGGAATAGTTTGTGAAGTGAGTTATTGAAACTGGCTTTAAAGAAGTGACGCAGTAAAAGAGAGAGAGAGAGAGAGAGAGAGAGAGAGAGGCAGAGAGAGAGAGAGAGTCGCAGTTCCCCCTCCCCTGATACTGTGTTAAAGACGATTATCTTGTAGAATTCAACTCTCGTATCAACTTTCAGGGTGGAGAGAGGGGTAGGGAGGGAGAGGAACGGGAAGGCTTCAAACGTTCCCCCTCCCTCCCCACCTCCTCGTTCTCCGCGACTACACACACACACACACACACACACGCACGCACACACGTTGGACTGTAAACAAAGGTAGAGGTAGTGTTTGATGGGAGGGAAGAGGCCAATGAAAAGAGAAAGACAAAAAGATGCAGGAGAGAGATAGAGAGGGGAGATAGGGGGAGGGTAGAGGCAGAGAGACAGGGAGAAGGTAGTGATAAAGAGATAGGAAGAGAGGGTGTGTAGAGAGACAGAAATAGGGAGAGAGGTAGAGTAGAAAGAGACAGAGAGGAGGAGAACAATGGCATGTAAAGAAAAAAAAAAACACGTAGAATTCATCACTTCGAGAGAAAAACAAAACTGGTGGTAGTTATCCAGGAGACAGACCAAGAAAAACAATTTCAATAGTTGTGTACAGAAGAGCGAGAAGCAGGAGAAGCAGAGGAGAGAGAGATACAGGCAGAGAGACAGACAGACACAAAAAAAGAGACAGATATATAGAAAAACAGATAGATAATGAGAGAAACATACAGACAGACATAGGAAAGACGGGGATTAACACACACACACACGAGACGTAATGGAGAGAAAAACAAAACAAAACTCCCAGAACACTTCTTATTTTATAGCCATCTAACAGGACAAAATGGGAAGGAGGGAAGGAGGGGGAGAGATAGGGAGGGAAGGATGGCAGGAGGGAAGGATAGCAGGAGGGAGAGAGGTGGGGTGGGAGGGAGGAAGGGAGGGAAGGTGTGAGGGAGGAAGAGAGGTAGGGAGGGAGGGTGGAGGGAGGAAGATAGGTAGGGAGGGAGGGAGGAAGATAGGTAGGGAGGGAGGGAGGAAGGGAGAACGTCCACCTGTGTTGTTACAAAGGCCAGGATTACCTTAGTGGATTTGACAGGGAGATTGTGAATCAACCTGCAGGAGGAAGAGGGTTGGTGGTACTGGGGAAGAGGAGGAGGAGGTGACCACACGCTGTGAGGGAAGGGAGGCATGGCAAGGGAAGGCACGGAGGGAAAGGGGAAGGGTGTTTTATAGCGGTGCTGGGGAGAGGTGGGGAATCGGCTCGTAAAGGGAATTTGTAGGATTGGAAGGAAAGGGGGAGTATGTGGAGAGGAGAAGGGGAATGGGATGGGGAGGGGGTGAAACTCTTTAAAGTGGTTGTGGTGTGGCCCATAAAGGAATTTGTAGGGGGCGAGGGCGAGAGCAGGTGGGGAGAAACCAACTGATGCTGTGAGGAAGAGAGGAGAGAGTGAGTGAGAGGTGAAAGAGAAGGTGTGGGAAGGACTGAGGGAGGGACAGAGAACGGAGAAGTGGGAAGGTTGTGTAATAGTGGTGCTGAGGGGGTAGGAAGGGAGGACTGACCTATAAAAAGAAAAAAAAATGGGGAGAGGAAGTGATGGGGGAAGACTGTAATGAGGGAAGGGGAGAATTGATCCAGGTATGTTTTTAATGGGAGGGTGGTGGGGGGAGAGGGTTATGGAAAGGGAGGTGACGCCAGTGGTTGTGTCAGGTAGGGAAGCAGGGAGTGACGGAAGGCAGTTATGTGTCAGATTAATAGAAACAGGGAGAGGGCATTTGTGTGTCAGATGGGAATGAAGGGGGATGGCAGCGTTGTGTCAGCTCGGATTGGAAGGGAAAGCAGTGTTGTGTCAGATAGAAGGTTAGTAGAAGGGTGGAATAGGTGGGTGACGTCGGATGGGAAAGACAGTAGTCAATATTATGTCGGACAGGAAAGGAGGAAGAGGACGAGGAGCAGGAAGAAGACAAGGGCAGGAAGAGGAGGAGGAGGAGAGGGTACAAGAGAGGAAAGAGAGAGAGAATTTATCTAACCCCTAAATCACTAGGGAAGGACAGAACAAAAAAAAAACAGTTAATGAATTGTTGTAGCTGGGGAGAGGATATGACCACACAGAAGCAACAGATGGATCCACCCAGCAAGACAACTTACGTCACCTAACTCAACTTTTTTTTTTCGAGGCACAGAGATTCGCAAGTTGATCTCCGACTCAAAGGAAATTACGAGAACTCCTCTGGTTATGGTAAAGCTTCAGATTATTTTAAGGCTTCATTATTTTATCAATATTATTACTATTTTTTAGCTGAGGATGGTTTTTTCTGATGTACTTTGGGGAATTTGTGGTCAGAGTTAAAGGTTGACTACAGTGAGGGAGAGATAATAGTCATGTGGCTTCGTAAAAACATTCCCCTCCCTCGCTTGCCACACAGTCTATCTCTCCAGTCCTTCTCTGACCTCAGGACCCTGGATGTTATGGGCGGAGTGGGCTAGTCAACGTGCGTGTTATGGGCGGGATGGGTGTGTCAACGTGTGTGTTGTGGGTGGAGTGGGCATCTAAACGTGCGTGTTATGGGCGGAGTGAGTGTGTCAACGTGCGTGTTATGGACGGGATGGGCGTGTCAACGTGTGTGCTGTGGGCGTATCTCCTGCCACTGACCAGGAGATGAGAGACGAGATTGTGTTGGGAATCTCTCTAAATGATGTTTTTCTCTTTGGAAATTAAATCTAGCCCTTACTCCCACCCAAACACACACACACACACATACTACTACTGCTTTTCTGTCACTTGGAATCGAGTTTGACGATCATCCAGCTATGATAAAATTATATGAGTTATTAAAGCTGCCACCTTCGTTGGAGAGCTTTGAAGTGACTCGAGAGGCCGATACGGGACTGGCAGGGCTGTTCACGGATGTTGCACGTGTGGAGGGCTACATCTAGTGCAGGAGGAGCGGTGGCAGCGTCTTTCCGGCGCTGACACTTGTCTGCCTAGGTATGCAGTCGGGCTAAATCGAAAGTATTGACACCACTTCGTGTGGTGCCCCCCAAGCGTTATGGTGTGGCGTGATCGTCTCCCATGTGATGAGGGAATCGATTTGACACTTATTCAGGTTTGTCTTAAGACTATCCTTATACCTTTTCAGTTACCCGCCAGCGTTTCGTTTACCATTCGTTAGGTGACTGTAAAGTAGCTGCAGCCTACTGTCGTCCATGCGGGTAACAAGGTCAGTTCAACGTAGTTGTTCATGGGTAATGGTAGCCTCGATGCTCCTACAGTTGGTGTCAGCGAGAATACTGGCAATTGTTCTCTTGTCTTCCCAGCGAACTCGGAGGATGGAACGCACACCACGTAGGTGAAAGTTTTCAAGTGCCTTGAGGTGCCTACTGTATGTGACCCATGTCTCGCTGCCATATAACAGGATGGGGAGGACCACTGTTTGATATACGTGCAACTTTGTAGATTATTTCAGCTCCCTACAGTTGATGACAGGGGTACGGATGTTGAACCTCTTCATCAATATCCGCGGTGGTGTACAGGTGGGAGTCAAGATATTAAAAGTGGATAACATTAAAGGTGGAGGTGTGGTTGAACCAGGGGTAGGTTGAAAGAGAATCTGAGTCTTATGTTCATTCATCTCAAGGCCGAAGTGTGCATACTCATTTGTGTAGGTATTCATGATCTACTGTAGGTCGAGTTCAATATGAGTGACGAGGGTGAGGTCTGCATACTGAAGTTCAGTGATGGAACTGGCCAACACCTTTGTTCCTACCTGGAGTCGTCTTATGCTGAAAAGTCCCTTCATCCGGTATTGGATGTCCACCCCGCTGGCTAAATTGGCACTGGCACGAGTAAGAAAGCCAGCCAAGAAAATGGAAAAGAGAGTTGGTGCCAGTACACATCCTTGTTTTACCCCCGTTTGGATAGTGAAAACACTCAGACTGGGTGCCATTATGCAGGGCACTGACGTTCATGCCATCTTGGAGTTGCCGCACAATGGTAATGAATTTTAGTGGGTAACTGAAACGACTGAGGGTCTGATGTTTTCTGCACTTTTCCTGTATCTGGCGAGCAGCAAAGATCATGTTAGTGGTGCCAGGTGATTGTCTAAAGCCACAGTGAATTTCTGGGAGGAAGTTTTCTGCCTCGGGAAGAAGTTTGTTGGACTCGGGCGATAATCTTGCCAGCTATGGACAGCAACGAGATCCCGCAGTAGTTGTTATATATATTCTCCAGGAGAGAGTGGACACGGCTGGTAAGTAGAGGTCCTCCTGCTTTATACACCTCGGCTAAGATTCCATCAGGCCCTGAGGCTTTGTCATTTTTCATATGTTTGATGGCAGTTGCTACCTCATCACGGGATGGAGGATAGCCGAGGTGGGTCAGCTCCGGGTGCTGATTGGCCTGCTAGGTAGTCTAAACATCCACATCGGTGTTTCGGTTGAGCCGGGAATGGTAGTGCTCTTTCCAGCACTAACAGATTCCTGCATTGTCTTTAATTAGGGAGTTACCGTCGGATGAGCAGGGGGACGGGCAAGCCATGAGTAGTTGGGCCATACAGTACTTTAGTGGAATTAAAAAATTCGCGCATCTTGGGTTATCTGCAATTTCGTGCACTCCACGCATTACTTTTTCACCGTTCATCCTTTAGATAGGGAAGTTTGCGCTGGGCCACCCCTTTCTTCTGGTGGAAGGTATAGCTTTGGTCCGAGGCTGAGGGTTGTTCTGCCAGTCAGTGAGAGCAGAGAGTTTACCATTGACGAATACGTCGATTTCCTGGATATTTTCACCAAACCAATCCTGGTGTTTTCTTTCGATCTGGCCGAGGGTCTTGCTGCAGGTTTCTGTGATGACAGCGTTGAGGATATCCCATTCGGCACTCGGATTTAGGTTCTTTGTTATTGGGTTGTTTATCAACCCATCGTCGAGGTGCTTTCTGAAGGCATGTTCTATGGCTTGAGCCTCCAGCTTGTTGTCTTTGTTGATATGGGACAGGTGGAAGCCGAGATACCGAAAGTGGTCAACAATAGAGAGGGTAATACCGTTAAGCTGGAGGGATGGTGGAGGTGTGTCTGAACCAGGGGCAGTTTGAAGGAGAATCTGAGTGTTACGTACATTCACCACAAGGCTGAAGTGTGCAATCGCGTCTGCATAGGTGTTCAGAATCTCCTGTAGGTCGTTTTCAGTGAGAGCAACAAGGGTGAGGTCTTCTGCATACTGACGTTTAGTAAAGGAAGCTGCCGACACCTTTGTTCTTGATTGGGGTCGTCTTATGTTGAAAAGACCCCCCTTCACCCGGTACTCGATGTTCACCCCACTGGCTAAATTGGGACTGGCACGAATAAGGAAGGCAGCTAAGAAGATGGAAAAGAGAGTTGGTGCCAGTACACACCCTTGTTTAACCCCTGTTTGGACGGGGAATAACTCTGACTGGGTGCCGTTGTGCATGACACTGCCGTTCATGCCATCGTGGAGTTGCCTCACAATGGCGATGAATTTTGGTGGGCAGCCAAAACGGCTGAGGTTCCACCAGAGGGCTTCCCTGTTGACCGAGTCGAAGGCCTTGGTTAGGTCGATGAAGGCCATGTACAGGTCAAGACGCTGTTCTCTGCACTTTTCCTGGATCTGGCGGGCAGCAAAGATCATGCCACGTTATGGTCTAAAACCACATTGAGATTCTGGGAGGTATTTTCCGCCTCAGGAAGAATTCTGCTTAGGAAGACTCGGGCGATAATCTTGCCAGCTACGGAGAGGAGTGAGATCCCATGGTAGTTGCCACAGTCTGACCGGTCTCCCTTGTTCTTATAGATATTGACAATGGAGGCGTCTTTAAGAGCTTGGGGGATTTCCTCCTTTTCCCATATATTTTCCAGGAGAGAGTGGAGACGGCTGATAAGCAGTGGTCCTCCTGCTTTAAACACCTCGGCTGGGATTCCATCAGGCCCTGAGGCTTTGTTATTTTTCATCTGTTTGATGGCAGTAGCTACCTCATTCAGGGATGGAGGATAGCTGAGGTGGGTCAAATCTGGATGCTGAGGGACCTGTTGGGTAGTCAGGAAATCCACATCGGTGTTTCGGATGAGCAATGAATGGTAGTGCTCTTTCCAGCGCTGAAGGAGGCCTTCGTCGTCTTTAATTATTTAGTTACCGTTAGATGGGCGAAGGGGAGCTGCACCACGAGTGACTGGCCCATAAAATGATTCAGTGCAAATAAAAAATTCGCGCATCTTGTGCTGATTTGCAAGTTTTTATGCTTCACGTGCTTTATTTTTAAGCCAGTCGTTCTTTAGATTGCGAAGTTCCCGCTGGGCTGCCGCTTTCTTCTTGTGGAAGGTATCAGCTTTGGTCCGAGACTGAGGGTTGTTCTGCCCGTCAGTAAAAGCAGCACGTTTATCATCGATGAGTACTTTCATTGCCGGGTCATTTTCATCAAACCAGTCCTGGTGTATTCTTTTGATCTTGCCGAGGATCTCTGCAGGTTTTTGTCATAACAGTATTAAGAGTGTCCCATTCGGCAATGTAATTCAAGTTGTTTGCTGTTGGGTTGTTTATAAGCCCATGTTCGAGCTGCTCTCTGAAAGCATGTGTTACCGCTGGATCCTCCAGACGATTAGTATTAAAACCTCTTCTGGAGGCTTGCTGTCTTCGCCGTTTTGGGGTGACGTGAAGTGAGAGCTTGGATCTGACACAGTGTCACAGTGGTCTGAGACACGCATGACACTGGTGATGAGGATATCTCGGCGATCTCTTTCTCTGACAATGATGTAGTCAATGAGATACCAGTGTTTGGATCGTAGGTGTTGCCACGATCCCTTGAACTTGTCGGCCTGCCTAAACAAGGTATTGGTGATAGTGAGGTTATGAGCAGCACACTTGCCAAGGAGGAATAGGCCGTTGGGATAACACTTGCCTAGTCCATTTCTCCCTATGGTTCCCTGCCAAATGTCAGCATCTCTGCCAACTTTGGCATTGAAGTCGCCAAGGAGCACAACCTTTTCTTCTCGGGGGGTAGAGGTTAGCACTGTCAAGGGCGGCATAAAGGCCTCTTTGATGTCATCCTCTGCATCCAGTGTTGGGGCGTATGCACTGATGAAGAAGGCATAATGTAAGTGATTCAGTGGAACTCGAAGCGTCATGAGGCGCTCGTTGATCTCAATAGGCATTTCAGTTAGCCTGTGTAGGATGCATTGGCGGATGACAAAGCCAACTCCATAAATGCGGTTTCTCTCTGCAGCAGGCTTACCCTTCCAGAAGGTGTAGCCAGACCCCTGTTCTGAGAGTTGGCCTTCATCTGGGAGCCGGGACTCACTGATGGCTGCTATGTCGATTTGATACCTAACCAGCTCTTTTGCCACAAGGAAATGCATTTGTGCCAGTATCCAGAAGGGTCCTGACATTCCATGCAGCGACCATAAGAGGTTGTTTGGTTTGTTTTTGCTTGGATCTGTGATTTTGATTTTGTTTTCGACCGCATAAGGATGACCTTACTGGGTGCGATTGCCCAGTTAGGTTGGGTTTTAGGCAGGTTATGTTTAGGGCACCTTTTTTAGCCCCCCTACCCGTGTGGGGTGGGCAGAGTGGCCCCTCGTAAAGGCTGCTCCGTCACACAGACAGGACAGGATTGCACTGCTGCTTAGATCCCAGTGCATAAACGACCATCTTATCTGTGCCGCCCATGTGCAGAGTTGTGATTAGAGACTCCCGGCATTCATCTCTGCCTGTCCCCGTCGCCACTCGTCCGTCGCCATAGGACTTTTGGAGGCGTAAGGGACTTTGATGATGATGAGAGGTATAGTGAGCTGGGTTATGGCTGCGTGTGAGTTGATTTATGTTGTGAGGCAGGAACGTAGGCTACAACCACACATCTTGGCTTTTCCTTTTCCTGATCCAGTGGTGCAAGTGTTGCAACGACTGGGGAGAGGGAGACTTGCAATGGACTGCCGATAGCCCAGTTTGTTGGATTTTGCCTTGGTAGATGGCCTTCGTCTGCCGGTGTAGTCGTTTGGTTTCCACTGTGGTCACCTCTTCCGCCCACATCGTCGTTGGGGTCTTGCTGGAAATCTGAAAGCATGTCTGCCTGAAGTAGGGCTCCACCGCAGATTTTTAGTTCGGGGTTTACTCCCGTTGCCTTATACCTGCCAAAGTTAATCCGCAAGGCAGCGGGGCGGTGGTTGGTAGGCGCCATTACATGTCCACATGCCAGTGAGCCTGTGCCCCGTCCTTCTGGGGCCCACTGCTACTCCGAGATTCCATGCTGGTCTAGCCTGGGCCCACGAGGCACAGCAGGAGTCTTGATGGTTAGGAGGCTGTGTACTGGCAGGGGAAGACTTATGTAAGTTGCTTCCCTGTTCACCACGAGGGCTAGCCAGCGGCGGCAGCTGAAAGTGAGAGGGAGCAAGCAGTGCTTGCACCTTAACACTAACATAATGCTGCCACACACACAAACAAAAATATTTTTCGTGTAGATTAACATTATCACTAGCAAGTCTACGGACTTGGCGCACCCACATTCAACCACAACAATCTTCATCTCAGGTTATGACAACTTCCTGCCTGTCACTTTCCTTCCTTTCTCTATATATGGTCGAGTTTCTTTCCTTCCAACATGATAGTTTTTTTCTCTTTCCAGCTTTTGTTTTTCTTGAAAATTTCTTTTCCGTTCTAGATTTATTTTCCAAATTCAATCTATATTTGTAGTTTTCTATTTTTCTATTTGTTTTTTCCAAATTTATTTTGTCCTTACCAGCAGTATATATATTTTTCCCTGCCATTTACATAATTTTCCCTGCCAGGTATATACAGTATATTTCAGTATTAATTTAGAGAATATTTCCTTTCAAATTATTATTTCCCTTTCCAAATCACCATTTTTTTCACTATAATTATCTTTTTTTTTCCCATTTCCAACATAGTTTTTTTTATTCCAAACGCATTTCGCATTTTCCTATTCCAACGTAATTAGAGTTTACATCTAAATAAATTAGTTTTCCTTTTTTCCTTCATTATCAGTTTTTTCTTTATTATCCGAGTGATTATGTATATATTTTAGTGTACTATAATTCGCTCCATGATAATTATCCACCATTGTAATTAATTATTTACCCATATAAACGAAATGTATGTGTGTAATTAATTATTTTCCCTCGTAACAATTATTTATGAAGTTAATTTCGGTATTTTTCTGCACACAAACTATAATTACTTGCCCACACTGATATATTTACCCCGTGTATAGCAATTAATTTTTTCCACGTAACAGTACTTCGGTCAAAGCGGGAGAGTTAGCTGTGCTGGCTAACACTTTAGCTGTGGTGGCTTTTACTTTCGCTGTGGCAGCTATTGCTTTAGCTGTAGTGGTTATCAGTTTCGCTGTGATGGTTTTCAGTTTAGCTGTGGCGGTTTTCAGTTTAGCTATGGCGGCCATGACTTTAGTTGTGGCTGCCATTCTGTGGCGGCCATCAGATTAGCAGTGGAATAACCTAAGTTATTCTAACCTGATCTAACCTAACCTAATGTAAGCCCTAAACGTAACCTAACCTAACAGTTTCATGCATAAATAGATACATTGAATGCATTTCTAATTACAATGAAACAATCATGATATTGTTTACAGGCATTAGAGTCTGACGTTGGCTTAATTGGTGTTTGTTTTACTGTCGTTTGCCTTTCTGCTTGTTTGTGTACACACCGGGTATTAAAATAGTAATTGATTGTTACAGAATGACGCGTCTCTAATCATATTACCATGACATCAGAGCTGAGTGTATCACCCATCCTTGCACACAAACATGAGTGTCAACAGGAGGATAAGTTAATGGTAAACACGTACACAGTTTTGTTAAAGAGTTAAATTTGTAAATAATGAATTAATGGGTAATTTTTATTAATTATGTTTTACCTTTTTTTTTTTTTGCATTGTTCTCTATCTCTCTCTAATGTAAATATCTCGTTATCATCTTCTCCAACGCCATTTCTTCTCTCATCGTTATCTCTCTTTCAACGCTTCCTCTCTCTCCTTCTCTCCCTCAAAGCTAATGTATATCCCCCTCATCAGCCTTTTGTTCTCCCTTTCATCGTTATATCTCGTTCTCTATTCTCTCTCTCCCTCGGCACCCTCCCTCTATCTTCTGTTCTTATCTCTTTATCAAAAAAAAAAGCTCGCCTTCCTCTTTCTCCCCTCTCCTCCTCATGACCTCTCTATATAATCTATTTTTCTATCCCCTCTACCCACCTCCTTCATCTCCTCTCCATCCGCTACTTTTCCTCTTCCTTAATTACCCCCTACTCCCCCCTCTCCTTCCATCTACCTGCCTCCTCTCTTCTCTTCCTCTCCCTCCATTCTAACTCTACTTCCCCACTTCACTCACCTCCCTTCTTCCTCCTCCATCCCTTTCTTCTTCTATTTCCCCCTCCTCTCCTTGTCCTCCTCTTCCCTCTTCCTCTATCCAAGATCCATTCACCCACATTCTTCCCTCCTTCTCCACCTCTTCATGTTTCTCATGCATTTCTCATCCTCTTACATTCCTTCCTTCCTTCCTTCCTTCCCCTCTACCTATTTCTCCTCCTCTCCCCATCACCCTATCCTACTCCTATGCACCTATCTCCTTCCCTTCTCATCATCCTCCTCCTCCTCTTTCTACTCCCTTCTCATTCTCCTGTATCCCTTCCTTCCTTTCGTCCCTTCTCTTCTTCCTTCTCCTCCTCTTCCCACCTTCCCTTTCACCCTCCCCTTTCCCCCCTTCCCACCCTCCCCTTCCCACCCTCCCCCTTCCCACCCTCCCCTGGCTCAGTGGGCAGCAGCGGCGCAAGAGAATGCTGGACTTCTGCCTCAGTCCCTTAAAAATAAATGGTTGAAAAGTTGGGTTCATTTTTCCGAGGCTCACCACCTTTGAAAACACACACACACACACACACACACGCACACACACACGCACACAGCTTGTTAAGAGTGAATTGTCCAGGGTGTTTGGCTACGCATCTGGTGTTCCTCCTCTCGCCGCCCTGTTGCGCTTTATAGATACGAGTGTAGATAGATTTTCCTTCCTCTCTGTGTAACTGTTGGTCTTTACTTCACTGTGTTGAGGTGACGTGTGTGTTGTTTAGTTTGGAGGGTTTGTCTGACAGCAAATGTTGTTATTGGTGTGACAGTCAATTAACACGATGACGATTAATTATTTCTACTATGACTACCTATTTCTACTATATCTACTATTTTCTACTACTACTACTACTACTACTATTATCTATCTTCACTTGTACTGTTAGCACCACTTTAGATAACTACCACAATCGCTGTCACTAGGAAGTAATATCACTACCATCACACCAGACGGCAACTACCACAACCACCAACACCTAAGGGAACAACCACCACACTACTACATAACCCTCTCTCTCTCTCTCTCTCTCTCTCTCTCTCTCTCTCTCTCTCTTCTCTCTCTCTCTCTCTCTCTCTCTCTCTCTCTCTCTCTCTCTCTCTCTCTCTCTCTCTCTCTCTCTCTCCTCTCTCTCCTCTACCCCTCTCTCCCCTACTCTCTCTCTCTCTCTCTCTCTCTCTCTCTCTCTCTCTCTCTCTCTCTCTCTCCCCCTCCTCTCTCTCTCTCTCTCTCTCTCTCTCTCCCGCAGTAAAACAACTTGAAACCTTTGCAGGTTCTTTGTTAATTGGTTTTCCTCACTGCACACAAGATGCCCCGCGCCTCAGAATGCAATTATCAAGCAAGGAATTTAGTTCACTACAGCCATTCTCTCCTTAAGACCTTATTCCTGCTTCTAAGTGTTGTGTTTTTATTAGCATTACTTACACAGCGTCGGGAGATTACAGTAAAGACTTTCATTAGGCTTTTAAGAAACTCCTCTTCATTCTCTAAAAAGTCAAATTATTACCTTATTGATTTCGATTAAATTTTTGTGTTTAGGGGAAATTGAATTATTTTTGTATTTAATTTTTTCTTTATTTTATTTAATATTTTGGTGATGTTATAATCTCATATAGAATACATTATATCACCATAAACAATGCAACACAACACAACACAACTACAATCTCTCATTTTTATTAACGTCTTGTATCCATTAATTCTGAACCTAATTCTTGCTTTTCTTATCATCTCTTTTCTTATTATCCTTCTCTCTCTCCTTATATCACTCTATTCCTCAGTTTGCATATTTCATTCACCATTTTCCCATCTTCATCCTTCATCCTTTTTACCCTATCATTTTACTTTCTTCATCTACTGACTTCATTCTTTCTTTTCTTCTTTTTTCTTCTTCCTTTTTCCTTCTTCCTTCTTCCTTCTTTTTTCTTCTTCCTTTTTTCCTTCTTTCTTTTTCCTTCTTCCTCCTTTTTCCTTCTTCCTTTTTCCTTCTTCTTCCTTCTTCCTCCTTCTTCCTTCTTCTTCCTTCTTCCTTCTTCTTCCTTCTTCCTTCTTCTTCCTTCTTCCTTCTTCCTTCTTCTTCCTTCTTCCTCCTTTTTCCTTCTTCTTCCTTTTTCCTTCTTCCTTTTTCCTTCCTCCTCCTTCCTTCTTCTTCCTTCTTCTTCCTTCTTCCTTCTTCTTCCTTCTTCTTCCTTCTTCTTCCTTCTTCTTCCTTCTTCCTTCTTCTTCCTTCTTCCTTCTTTTTCCTTCTTCCTTTTTTGTGGTTAACGAGAATATTTCCTTCTTTATTCATACGACTTTTTTCTTGGACTTCTCTTTGTTTATTTAGATGGTTCTTGTGAGAGATGGTATGGTAAGGTGCCACTCCTAACGTTTGTCGTGAGAAACATTGGTCAAAAGAAACGTTAGCAGAGAAATATATGCCACAGGAGACGGAAACAGAGAGAACGTTTTGTCGAGATAAATGTTTTTCAGGAGAAACTTTTATCGAGAGAAACTTTCAAGAGAAACGTTTACCAAGAATATATTTCTCCTCCAGAAACGTTTACCTCCAGAAACACAACCCAGGTGAAACATTTACCAAGAATAAGCACTTGCAGAGAAAAACGTCTGTCGAAGTAAAAGTTTGGCACGTGAGAAATATATCAGAGAAAAACGTTTTGA